TCCCTGGGATTTCTGGTTTCTTCTTGTTTTATGGCAGTGCCAGCTCTCTCTCCGAACTAGACCTCCTCTGCTGACCTCATTCTTTATCCCGTGGTTTTGACAAATGTCCTTTCAGTCCCCGTTGCCGTAATAGCTGCCTTTCCCCAGAAATGAGGTCCTTCTGAGGTTAAGAAAAAGTCTTTATCTACTGTATTCTCTCCCTGGCACCTAGTAGTGGTTCATTTGGCTAGTAGATCACTCAGCTTACTCTGTTTCACGGTTGTGCTAGGTACAGGGAAGAAACGATTACTATAACTGTAATGGTGTGTGCATGAAGTGCATAGCATATGCCAGTTATGCCGAGGGCATTCACTGCTGTGTCTTTAGTACCGTCAGTGATATGGAAAGCTGCTCAGGGTATATGAAGTGAGAGAGAAAAAACAAACCATTCCAAATATTGCGATGACAATTTTGTGGGAAGAAAAAAAAATTTAAATACATATTTACTCACATAGGAGATCAGGAACTACATCGGCCAAGGTACTAATGATGCTCTTTTCTCGGTTCTAGGATTACAGCGCCTGGCATACAGTAGTCTCTCAGTAAATATTTGAATGACTGAATAGAATATATTTAACTTGCTCAGCAACCTTTTAAGTTAGATATTATTAGTCGCATGTTAAAGATAAGAATGCTGAGACTTTGAAAGGTTAAGAAGTTAACAAATGTCACTTAGCCAGGAGATGTTATAACCAGAAGTCAGGGCTTTTGCCTTTGCAGTTCCCTCTGCGCCCTTCCCAGATCTTCGCACAGCTTATTTATCTTTGGGCAGGTTTTAGAGACCGTAGGTGTCAACCTCCTTTAATGTTGCCCCTCCACACTTGCCACCTATCTTCTACCCAAGAGAACTTAGGTTCTGGCTGGTAACAAGAGGTTATCACATATGTTTTATTTTCTATATTGCCGTTTTGATAAGCAACAATCACCGTATTTGTCGATTTGTTTACCCACCAGAATACAAGTACCATAAAACACGTACCATATCCATCTTATTTACTGCTGTATCCCCACTGTTACGGTGGCCAAGATGTAGTTAGACATGGAAGGTATGTTTGCTAAGTGAACAGATGCCTGTGTTTCTAGGTTAGTGCTCAGATGAATGAATAATAACAAAAATAGTTTGCTGAAGATTCTGTGTGTACCAAGTGCTGGGCTATGAGCTTTATTCAGATAGGCATGCCATGTGTATGTGTGAGAGAGAAAGACTTCATTCTTTCAACTCTGTAAGTAAGAAGTATTATCCTCACTTAACAGAAGAGAGAACAGACTCATTCGGAGATTCGTCACCCTCCTAGTGTCAGTACAGCTATACAGTGGCTGAGCCAGAAATAAACCTGCCATTTGACAGCTCCAATATTGAGAGGTAAATTGCAGCTTCCAAAACTCTGTTCCTCCTTTGCTATCCGGTGTAGAACATGGTAATTTATGCATTTTCCTTAAACTTCAACCCCAGATACATATTTGATTTCTCCTCCTTTTTTATTCCTGCATGTCATTATTCATTTAGTCCTGTTACTTCTACTCTTATTTCTGTTACTTCTTTATCTCTTTGTTGCCAGTTATTTCTCTTTATAGCTCCAGAGTGAGCTCTGTGTGGTCAAGGACTATATCTTTCTTTATATTCTAAGCATCTGACACATCATAGAATTTCAGTACATGTCTGCTCTCCTCCCAACTAGAATGTCAGCTGCTTGAACGCAGAGTCCTTGCCTGCCCTGATCAACACTGTGGCTCATGCTCCTTAGCATGTCATTTACTAAGTGAATGACCTGAGGCACCAAATCCATTCTGCCCTCTCGAGCGTGTCAAAAGGCCCAGGATCCAGGTATCAGCAGGATGAATTGAGATTGAGCACATGTGTTGTTTCAGGAGCAGAGTGAAATCCCAGCTCTCATGGAGCTCACGTTCTAGTGGGCTCGGAAAAACAGTAAAGAAGAAAAATGGATGGTAGATTAGAACGTCAGTTTTACAGAGGAAAATGAAGCAGGGAAGGGGCTTTGGGAGATCTGGCAGAGGGAATTGCAGTTGTAAGTAGGATAGTCAGGGATGATTTTACTGAAAACATGGTGCTTGTGTAGGGACCCCAGTGAAGGCCCGGAGGTGGGTACGTGACTGGTCTGTTTGCAAAACAGTAAGGAGGCCAGAGGGGCTGAGCAGAACGAGAAAGAGGAAGGATGAGTAGGAAATTGGGTATTGGGGGGCCAGAGAATGTAAGGTCTTTAGCCCATTGAAAAGATTTTGGTGAAGGTTTTGGCCACAGGAGTGACATGACTTTATTTATATTTTAAAAAGATCGCTCTGGCTGCTGGGTAGGATATAGACTCTAAGGGGACACTCCGAGAAGCAGAGAGGCCAGGAAGGAGACTACTGCGGTAATTCTGGCGAGAGGTGATGGTGCTGTGGACAGTAGCAGGAAGAAGGATTGGTCTGATTCTGGCTCGAATTTGAAGGTATTGGCTGATACAGTGTATGAGAGAGAAATCAAACATCACCCCAAAATATGTGTTCTCATTGGGAGAGAAAGAGGCACATCTAGAGTTCGTTTTGGGACATGTTAAGTTTGAGGTGCCTTTTAGACACCCAAGTGGAGGTGTCAAGCCTGTGTTGAGTAAAGCCATGAGGCTGGCTCTGTTGACCAGGGGGATGCATGAGTTTAGAGAGAATTTCATGGACTAAAACTTGGGGCAGCACTAATGGTAGAGTTCGGGGATGTGAGGAGGAGCCACCCGGAAATTTTATACCAACTAGAAGCCCCTGGAAACCCTGAAAATCAGCCATTCAGAGGAAGCGAGAGTATCTTAGCACATGCTACTTAAAGTGTGGTCCCAAGAGCAGCCGTATCAGCATCCCCTAAAAACTTGTAAAAAATACAGACTCTCAGCCTTCACTGCTGAGCTAGTGAGTCAGAATCTTTGGAAGTTGGGCCCGGCAGTTTTAACAGTCTCTTGTGGTATTTTTAAGCACTCTAAAAGCTCCCAAGGCACAGCCCTGGAGGGTCCTGGAGAGCTGATCTTTTTTCTTTTTTTCTGTTAAAGATTTTAGTTTTAGAGAGAGGGGAAGGGAGGGGAAAAGAGAGGGAGAGAAACATCAGTGTATGGTTGCCTCTCACACGCCCCCTACTGGGGACCTGGCTTGCAACCCAGGTGTATGCCCTGACTGGGAATCGAACTGGTGAGCCTTTGATTTACAGGCCGGCTCTCAAGCCACTGAGCCACACCAGCCAGGGCTGAAGAGCTGATCTTAAATGGCACTGGTGTGGAGGGCATGTTACTTATTTGGCCTCTACCCTGCAGTTCTTTGTCCTCCAGATAGGAGGTTAGCAGGCAACACCTGTTTCCTGGTCCTCAACACTTGCTTCAGAGAGTGAACCCAGTGCCAGGCAGTGCCCAAGCGGTGTCACGCAGAGATGTCTTCAGAGTGGGCTGTGCAAAGGTCTGGGACAGATGGTTAGAGGAAAGGTGGAGACTTGGGCTCCTGAAGCAGTAGAACGCAGGGAGTGTCTTAGAATGGGCGTCAAGTGTATGCATCTGTTTGTCTGAACTTACTCTGTGGCTTGGCTCTCAGGAGAAAGCAAGGCAAGGCCCGAGGGAGCTCACAGTGAGTATCTTTGCACTACCTGCTGACCAGCTCCAGGCTGCTGCCAAGAGTTCTGTTCAGCATCACATCCTGCGGATAGAATTTGCTAAGTGGACCCTGTGTGCCAGAGAAATGCTAGATGGAGAGGATAAAGAAAGAAGACTTCGTTTCCTTGACTTAGAGATTTTAACAGGGCAGGCAGGCAATGTGAAAGGTGGTGAATCAGTGTTTTAAACCAAGTGTCAGTGGGTCCCAGAGAGATTAATTCAGTCTGGTGGTGGCTGGAGGAGGCTTCATTTAGAAAAAGAGAGCTTGAGATCAATGGGCATAATGCAGCAGGTCCCTGAACTAGAGTGGGGGGGAAATGTACACTAGTCGAAATGAACATTAGCATTTCCTTCCATTAGGATTTACACAACAAGCCACAATAGTATTAGCAGAACTTGTGACTTTGTTATTCAGGTAAATCAGAGGTACTTTATATCGTAGTTTGCGTAGATTTTTCAAAATACGGTTTACACTAATTTTTTTGAAATGATGGTAGTTAATTTATTCTTGGTACTGAATGTGTTAATAAAGAAGCACATACTTGGTGTTTTAACAGTTTTAAAGGTTGTATTTCAGTTTAATTAGCTTTTAAAACAATCCTGTTTCTTGGTTTTTTGAGAGAGAGAGAGAGAGAGAGTCAGAGGGAGGGAGAGAGAAAAACATCAATTTGTTGTTCCACTTAGTTGTGTGTTCATTAGTTGATTCTTGTATGTGCCCCGATGGAGGTCAAACCCACCACCTTGGTGTACTGGGGCGACGCTCTAATAAACTGAGCTACTTGGCCAAGACGCTTGTGTGTTTTACTTTATACTTTTGAAATATTATTGTGAGTAGGACTCCATAAGTATCACTTGACTGCCAAAAGAGGCCTGGGTCAAAAAGTTTATAAATTTGGATTTGGAAATTTGCTAACCTGTATCATGACTTTTAGAATCCTGTAGGGCAGGAATATTACGTTTGTTTTTATTTTTGCCGCCCCCACAGTATTGCGTTATTAAGCACATTCTGGTTTTCCCTCACGGGGCACACGTGCCCCATGTTTGTGTGGTCTCCGCGCCCTTCCTGTGCGGCCCTGTGTCTCACCACGACACTCTGCTCCGCCCTCCCCGCAGACAGTCCCCTGACTATCCTTAGCCATCTGCAACATCCTGGCTGTCTGGACTGCGAGTCTCTCCGGAACAGAGACTGCGTACAGCTGTCCAGTAATTGTCCACAGAATAAGTGGTATCCAGAGGGTGTGAACCCTACTGGAGACGCAGAACTTTGGGGCCCAGGAGAAAGAACTCAGATAAAGTCAAGTTCCCTCTTGAGCCCCACAGGTCCCTGGAGCGTGAGAACCAACCAGGTGGAGATGGAGGTGGGTACTTGTGACCTCAGATACTTATCTGATGCTCCTTATCAGAACTTGGCGCGTCTTAAGAATGATGAAGGCCCAGATTTTCTGCTTTTCCAGCTTAGGAAGATCAGAGAATAAATAGAATTGCCGCTGCACTTGGAAAACTTGGGAGAGGAGACCATGAAGACTTTGACTTTAAGGCATGAGGAAAGAGGTGAGAGTTAATGAAGGGTGTGGGGTGTGGGTGGGTATCTAAGTTGGGTGAGGAGAGAGAAAAGGTTAGGTGGGTGAGGACTTGCAAGAAACCAGCGTGTGAGGGGGCAGGCATTCCTGAGGCCCAGGTAGATAGCTGAGAGCACAGGCAGGCACCTTCCCCCAGCCCACGCCTCACGTCGTCTTTCTCCTCCTCCAGCTCTGTGTTTTCAAGCCTCAGCCCCTTCCCGACACGGGGAGGATGAGACCAGGTTTCAGGTGGGTTGAGTTTTCTTTTCTCTCTGGAAATAACTGTAGGCATCAAGTTGAACATTATCTCCCTCGCCTGGTAAAAGGGAAAAGAGAAAATTGATGTGTTATTGGGTGAATATATTCCACTCCTTATTGCATTTATTTACAGAATAGCTAGTTTCAAAAGGCCTTACCCATTCTAACTTTAGTCAGAAAGATAACCAGGGTTTTTTGGGGGTTTTTTGGTATTTACATTAAAATTTTAGAATCTCTAATAGGACTGTAATTTATTTTTGTAACTGGCATATGGTTCATTTTCTTCAAGATGGATACCAATTATGACAATTAATCATTCATTTGCAAGTCAGTTGGAATACCATCCTTATTGTATATTGTCTATGTATTTATATACATACATGTGTATCTAAAATAGTTATGTATATTATGTATATGGAGAGCGAGAGAAAGACATATCCATCGATCCATCTTTCATGTAATGTGACTGTTCCTGCATTCTGTACTCTGGTCCACTGAGTCGCTTGTACATCTCTGCAGTGTTTTACTGTCAGAGGACAAAACAGACAACATCCCTGTCCTCCTGGGGCTGACTTTCTGGAAGGGGGATGTGGGGCTGACATTCTAAAAGGGGGAGACAGGTAGTAAAATTAAAAGCAAGATAATTGCTCTCAAGTACTTTAAGGGACACAGTCAGAAGGAACTGAAAGTATTTGCAGTCACCGAAGGAAAAGGTGATGAGTTGGACTCGAGAGGGGGAGAGGGGACAGGTGGATAGATTTGAATTCTATTTTGGAAAGATAATTGGCAGACTTTTTTATGAATGAGAGTTGAGAAATGAGGACAAGGGAAGAATCAAAGATGATTTTAAGGTAGATGGTACCGTTTGCCCACACAGAAGAGATTAGGAGAGGACAGCTGGGGGGAAGACTCGGTTCTCCTTGGGCTTTTCTTGGTCTGCAGTACCTTTCAGATGTCCAAGTGGTAGGCGGATATGGCAGGACTCAGTGTAGAAGCCAGAGCTGGATATAAAGACTGAGAATGAGCGACCAGCGGACTGCCTCTGGCCCAGGCTTTCTCCTAGTCGCGCTGCCTCTAGTCTGGGAATGGACCTGGGACCCTTCTGGGAAATGTGCTCTGTCGGTGGCGGTCATCCTCCAGAGTGGAGAAATAGGTTCCTCTGGCTTGTGGTCCTTCTTATATCTGGCCAGCAGTGTAGCAGAGTGGTTACAGCATATTAGGCTGCCCAGGGTCAGTTCTGACACTGCTTTTATTAGATGTATGTTCATCCACAAATGATACTCACTTTGCAGAGTCCCCATTTTTCTCACCTGTGAAACAGGGATAGCAATAGTAGCTTACCCTGTGGGCATAAAGATAAAATAGATAATAAAACATTTCCTACAAGAGAGAGATGAAGACATCTCTTCCTAAGTGAAGACAGGAATGAAATAGGAATGCTGTTGATCACTATATTGCAGAATGTATAACACCATTTTTTTCTCATTGGACTGGAGCATTTCCCATAAAAACTTGGGCCATGATTTATTGCTAAGGCCGACACAGCATGATTTGAAACCCTCGTTTGAACCGCTGCTTCAGAGGTCTCATCTGGTTGGGGAGATGGCGGCATAAACACATTGGTTGCTTCTATCAAGTGATTACATGGAAACCTGTATAAAATGGCTGTGATCCTGACCAGGCAGCAGAGTTGGTGGGAGCAGCGTAAAGGGTTATGGGTTCGATCCCCAGGGCACATACCTAGGTTGTGAATTTGATCCCTGGTCAGGGTGCATATGGGAGGCAACTGATTGATATTTCTCTCTCACATCGTGTTCACCCCCTTCCTCTCCCCCTCCCTCCCTCCCTCCCTCCGTTCCTCCCTCCTCCTCTTTCTCAAATCAATAAACATTTCCTTGGGTGAGGATTAAAAAAAAAACTGTCTGTGGATAAGGTGGGAGACTGTGGCAGTAAAGAGTAGGATTTGCCCTCATTTGGGGGGTGTGCAGACACGGGCATGCTAAAATTAGGTGCTGTTGGAACTGTAAGTTGTCACAGTCTCTCTGAAGGAAAAGCTGGTAATCTACAAGGTAGAGCCAAATTGTAAAATGTGCAGACCCTGTGGTTCATCCATTCAAGCTCTAGGAAATTGCCCTCAGAAGTGCGCACACTGAGTGGAGGATGCTCCTGTTTACGCTTTGGAAGACCATGGAAGATTATTTGGTTAGAATCAAAATTATTGTTACCAAACAGTAATCATACTTGATTTGACTAGCAGACTGAGCACTTTGCTGCTTTCTTGTCTACTTGTCTTAGTGATGCCAAGTAAGTTACAGCAAACTTTCTTTTCATCGAGTGAGTGTTTTTCTTAATGGTGTTTCATGATGTAGGAGCCATTGACCTTCAAGGATGTGGCTGTGGTCTTCACCGAGGAGGAGCTGGGGCTGCTGGACTCGTCCCAGAGGAAGCTGTATCGAGATGTGATGCTGGAGAACTTCTGGAACCTGGTCTCACTGAGTGAGGGTAACCTCTAGTTAATTGAAATTAAGCTTATTAGAGTGTTCTTGTTCCCTAGAGAGAGGATGTTTTTGGTCTTTGTACATAAGTTAAATCCATTTTTTAATAGAGCTATTATAAAGGAGTTTCATTTGCCTAGTCCCAGATCTTTTCCCTGTCTGTCCTTCAAAGGCCTGGAGGTCATGGGATTAGGACAACCTTTTCAGATTATTTTTTGCACTTCAAAAATGAGCCTAAGCTTTGCATTCTCTTGCATTTGCAGGGCAACCTTTTAAACCTAAGAAGATACCCCATTTGGAACAAGACAGAGAGACCTGGGTGACAGAGAGAGAAACTCTAAGAGAATCACATCCAGGTGAGAACCGTGGAGCTTGGGAGCATGGCTAGGCAGTGAGAGGGTGATCTTGTTAGGCAGGCCCAGTCTGCACCCTTGATCTTGCCTGGGAACACTGCTAGTGCCAGTGTAGGTCATTGTTCTGCAGCCTCATTTCTGCTACTCAGTCCCTACCTTCGCATGGTTCCTTCACGCTTTTCAGAGAATGACGTACCCAGTGATCTCTGGACTTTCCTCCCCCTGATTAAAACATTCAGGCAGTGGCAGAGACACTGTTCCAGAATATTGAGAGTCCTCTGAAAGCTTTCTCCCTTAACTCTAGTATACTACAAGCCCCGGGATATAAACAGATTTGTGTTACCGTATTCCTCAAAGATAAAAATAGCTGATGGAGAATATCAGAAAACTTGGACAATGTTTTTAAATCATCTGGAACTGTGTCATTCATATGAATTTGATGGCTCACAGGCAGTAATGGGGATAAGTTGATATTTTTATGTCGCTGTGCCTTATCGGTGTCATCTGCAGTCCTGGTTGTGTGCTCACAGGAGACACCGCTGATGCACTTCGGAGGACTTGGTTCCCTTCCCCATTTCAGCTCACACATTCCCAGAGTCACATGGGAGGCGGTGTGGTGAGAGGGCTAAATGCAGCTGTAAAACCAGACTTCTGCGTTTGAACCCCAGCTCAGCACTTCCTCCAGCATGGCAGGGCCACTTAAGTAGGGTATTTACCTCTCTGTGCCTTGGTTTCCTCATGTGTAAAATGAAGATAACAATGGTCCCTACCTCAGTGTTATTCTGAGGGTTAAAGAAGGTAATACACGTACATCATTGGCCTATAGGAGGTGTTATAGTGGTATTAGATATTATTATAATTATTAGCAACAACAGCATTATTAAGGGGAGAAGAGAATTTTCTCTATAAAAATCTGTTCAGAATTTCTTTTTTGCTTGGCAATGATATGTTTAAACTAAGTTTGTTACTGATAGAATCATGTTAAGATTTAGCTTCAGCCCTGACTGGTGTGACTCAATGGATTGAGTGTTGGCCTATGAACCGAAAGGTCGCCAGTTCAGTTCCCAGTCAGGGCACATGCCTGGGTTGCTGGCCAGATCCCCAGTTGGGGGCGTGTGAGAGGCAGCCAAGTGATGGTTCTCTCACACATCGATATTTCTGTCCCTCTCTGCCTCCCTCTCTTCCCCTCTCTAAAAATAAATAAAATAAAGGTATATATATTTAGCTTCAGACCTTATTTATAGGAGCCTCTTCCTTTTTTCAGATCTAAAGATAAGTGCCTTGATAATTATGGTACATAAAACTGAATTTTTCCCAAAGCCATTTCATTATTGGGCCTGATCTTTCTGGGCCAGTCTTTTACTTGTTCTCATTCCTGAATTGTCTTTAACCCCGTAGGAGACAAGAATGAAAAGGAAATGGAGGACATTCAAGAAAGAGAATTAAAGTTCCTTTCATGCAGAGAGCTCTCCTACTGGAAAATCTGGGAACAGGCAGCTGGTGAATTAACTCAGAGTCGAGACCATAGAGTAAATCTTCAAGGGAAAGATGTCCGGTGCTCAAACAGTGCTCCCCTGTGGCAGGAGTGGGAAGGAGCATCTACTCAGGGTTCACAAATTGAAACTTCGGTGAACAGCCTTCAAGGAGATGGGCCCGTCACTTTGGAAAATCAAGAGCTTCCCACTTGGAAAGCAGTGAGACCAGTCTCCATTCAAGAATCTTGGACAACAGCCTTTGTGAATGGGCCCAGGAATGTTCTAGAAAGGAGTAAACTCGACATGGAAGATATAATGTGTAAATGTGAGTGTGATGGCTATGGCTTCAGCTGTAGTGGTTACAGCGACCACAGATTAGCTCAAAGAGAGAAATCATGTGATTGTGATAAATGTAGAGAAGACCGCACTGAAAAGTCAGTACTTCATCACCTTGACCCCGGAGAGAATGGCTTGGTAAGTAATGGATGTGGAAATGGCTTCAGGGACGATTCAAACCATCCTGCTTTTCCAAGAGTCCCTTTGAAAGAGAAACCCTGTATGTTTCATGAGTCTGGTCAGAACGTGAGGCAGACTGCCTGTCTTGAGAGACTTCAAAGGATTCCCTCAGGAGAGAAATCCTATAAAAATAACAAGTGTGGTCTGGGCTTCAGGCAGAACACAGGCCTTCACAACCACCCCTGGATCCCCACAGGAGAGATTCCCTACAGATGCAGTGTGTGTGGGAAGAGGTTCAAGTACAAGTTGGTTCTTCTGATCCATCAGTGGGTGCACACGGGGAAGAAACCCTACAAATGCAAGGAGTGTGGGAAGGCCTTTGGTCAAAGTGCCATCTTACTTACCCACCAGAGAGTCCATACCGGAGAGAAACTGTATAAATGCCATGAGTGTGGACAGGGCTTCCGCTACAGCTCGGAGCTTCAGATCCACCAGAGGCTGCACACGGGAGAGAAGCTCTACACGTGTGATGAGTGTGCCAAAGTATTCTGCGCCAAGTCTGCACTGCACAAGCATCAGCACATCCACTCGGGAGAAAATCTCCACAGCTGCGGCACCCACCTCAGCAGTCATCAGAAGACACACACAGGAGCGAAACCCTTCCAATGTGACACGGGTGACAGAGGTTTCAGTCACAACTCATACCTTCAGGCTCACCAGAGAGTTTACAAGGGCAAGCGCCTGCACGCATGTGACGTGTGTGGTAAGAGTTTCAGTTACAGGTCGGGGCTCCTCAGGCATCAGAGACTGCACACAGGAGAGAAGCCCTACAAATGCGAGTGTGGGAAGAGCTTCAGCCGCAGCTCGGACCTCCACGTGCACCAGAGGGTCCACACGGGAGAGAAACCCTATCAATGTGTGGAGTGTGGGAAGGGCTTCCGGCGGAATTCAGACCTTCATAGTCACCAGAGGGTCCACACGGGAGAGAGGCCCTACCTATGTGATGTGTGTGGGAAGAGCTTTATTTATAGCTTTGACCTGGTCATCCATCAGAGGGTCCACACGGGGGAGAAACCCTATAAATGTGCTGAGTGTGGCAAAGGCTTCAATCACAGCTCAGGGTTTCTCATTCACCAGAGGGTCCACACAGGTGAGAAACCTTATAAATGTGAGGAGTGTGGAAAGGGCTTCAGATGCACCTCAAGCCTTTACAAACATCAGCAAGTTCACACAGGAAAGAAGCCCTATACCTGCAATCAGTGTGGCAAGGGATTCAGTTACAGCTCAAATCTTCGCACCCACCAGAGACTGCACACAGGAGAGAAGCCCTACACATGTTACGAATGTGGAAAGGGCTTCAAGTATGGGTCAGGTCTCCTCAGTCACAAGAGAGTGCACACTGGAGAGAAACCATATCGCTGTGATGTGTGTGGGAAAGGGTATAGTAAGAGCTCATATCTTCAAGGTCATCAGAGGGTCCACACTGGTGAGAAACCCTATAAATGTGAGGAGTGTGGGAAGGGCTTTGGTCGAAGCTCCTGTCTTCTTGTCCATCAGAGGGTCCACACTGGGGAGAAGCCCTATAAGTGTGAGGTGTGTGGGAAAGGCTTCGGCTACATCTCAGGTCTGCGAAATCATCAGAAAGTACACCTCAGTGAGAAGCCTTATAAGGACGGGTGAGTTAAGGTCTCCAGTTAGGGCTCAGAACTTTTATCTTCATCTGGCAGTGAACATGGAGAAGAACAAGGTGAACGTATTCTGTAGGGAGGGCAGCAGTGGAGGCTGGCATTTTCATAGGCAGCAGCTAGTCCACATGGGAGGATCCAGAAGTCTGATAGAGAAAGCACTTCAATCACAAATTTATTAGTCTGCTGGAGTGTTGCGCAGTAGAATAGTCCTTGAAGAAATAATATGGCGGCAGCTTCAGTAAAAGTGGTCAAATTCAAAGTTGGTTTAGGGGGAGGTTTTGCAAATGACCAGGATAGTGAGATGGCCCTGACTGGTGTGGCTCAGTTGGTTGGCACTTTGTCCTATACACTGAAAGATCAAGGGTTTGGTTCTTGGTTAGGGCACATACTCAGGTTGCAGGTTCAATCCCCGGTTACAGTGTGTATGGAATACAATTAATTGATGGTTCTCTCTCCTGCCCTTTCTAAAAGCAATGAAAAAAATGGTCCTGAGCCCTAGCTGATGTGGCTCAGTGGATTGAGCATTGTCCTGCAAACCAAAAGGTCACCAGTTTGATACCCAGTCAAAGCACAGGCCTGGGTTGTGGGTTCAGTCCCCAGTTGGGGTGTGTACAGGATGCAACCAACGTTTCTCACCCTCCCTCCCTCCCCCTCTAAAATAAATCGGCATGTCCTCGGGTGAGAATTTTTTAAAAACCCTAAACATTCAACAATTGCAATTTTTGTCTGTTTTGTTCACTATATTACAGCCTTAATGCTTAGAATGGTGCATAGCACATAGTAGGTTCTCAGTAAATACAGTACCAATGAATGCAATAGACAAAAATCTCAACCTTCATTCAGCTTAATTCCTACGACTTTTACAGAACGGTTCCACTACCTGTCACTACAAAAAGCCAAACACATGAGGCAGGTGCTGGTGCAAATGTTTATTCAGGTGCCGCTCAAACCTGGGTAAATGGTGGACTCCAGTCTCAAAGACCACCCCCTGCCCTCCTGCTCAAGCCTGCAGTTCTTAAAGGGATAGGGAGGAGAGGGCGTTCTTTTCCCCCAATCCAGTGAACTTTATAACTTCTGGCCACCTGGGACCTTATCCTTTCATATTTCTAGCTTTCTTCCTGCTCAGTGTAAGAGCCTCCCCTGGGCCAATGGGCAGGAACTCACCTGGTGCACCAGCTGACTCTTACGGTAACAGTGTGAGGAAGTCAGCAAAAGCCAAAATATGTAAGTTATATAGCATTTTAGAAGGTGAAAAGTACCAAGGGAGGAAGGTGAGTGCGAGAGAGATTTCATCTGCCTTTTGTTGCTTTCCTCCAGGCCAGAATTGTGGGTCTCTAGCGAAATACTCAATTTTCTTAACCTATTAAGTCACCAGAACAGATAGCTTCTTAGGTAGAAATCTGAAAATGCACAAAAGGTGTTAAGTCCAAACAAGGGAAACTTCTCGAAGAGAATGTGAAAACTCCGTGTTTTCGTGATGTGTTGAAATAAGTGTCTTTCAGGAGACCTCCGTAGACTCATACTGTTCCTGATTCAAGACAGAAGTCACTGCTTGTTAATCCTGCTTCTCCAGAGAAGGAGAAATATTTCTGCGCTATAAGTCATTTGTCAAGTGTGAGTTTCCAGAGTCCCCTTCAAAACAAACAAACAAACTTAGTGTTTGAATAAATTGTAATTTAAAAGTTGCATGGTTATATAGTTAAATGGTATGTCTGCAGAATAGGAACATAAAAGGATTTTCACAAAAATAAGTGCTCACATCTGGGTGGTAAGGTATTGAATATTCTCACGACTTTTTATCACAGATGGAGAGTGATTTCATTGTTAACATTTCACTATTTTATCGCTATTGCAATTATTACTTCAGAGGAGTGGATAGTCTGGAGAGCCGCGGCTGCACTGCTGACCGGCAGCCCGTGTGGCGCTGTGCTACCGCGCAGGGGCTTCTGGGGGGTGGTAGTTCGCAGGCTTTGTAGTGCAAGCGCCTGGATCCCGGGCTCTCCCCGAGAACAATGGTTTCTGCCACGCAGGGGAGAGTCGGCTCTGGAGTGCGCCCCTCTTCACAGGGGTCACCTGGGTTGTGGGTGGAGGGTGTGCAGCGGTGAGTCGGCCTTGACTGGAGTAGAAGGAGTTGGAAACGGGGACTGGAACCGATGTTAGGGCTGCCTCGGCCGGGCAGGGTGGTGAGGGGCTCTGGCTCGGCTTTCCTGGGATGAGGTGGGGAGAGGTTGGGCTCGGTTTGCGGGGCAGCCCGAGTTTCGTGGTGACCGACTCAGGTAGTGCTTCTGCACATTTCGGGCTTGGCTGTGCATCGCCGGGTCGGGGGTTAGTATCCATCTTCGGACGTGAAACTCTGGAGCCAAGCGGGGGCAGGGGCCGTTTGCTCAGGTTTTGGGGATAATGGTTTGAACTCTGCATCCCTGCGTAAGAGCGGAGATCGGCTCAAGCAGTTCACCTCCTGAAATGGGGAACGGCTTGGGCTCTTCATTCCTGGGTTTGGCAGGAGCCAAATCTCAGAGTCTTGGATTCTGAGCGCTGTCTGAGTTTTGGCAGCTCTGACTCTAGCGGGGCACTCGTGACTTTAGGGCGGAGGTTCTGGCCTCTGGAAGTAGGGGAATAGCTCAGACTGTACATTCCCTCTCTCTAGTAATAAATCTGGAGTATGCCTCTGAATGCAGTGTGAAAAGAAGTGCCTCAAATAATTAACCCCATCCTCACCTTGCATGTTGTGAGCAAGGAAATGCAAACTTTGAGGATTAAGAGACACATGGCAATTTGTAAAGGGTTAGATTGCAGACAACAAATTGGAAATTTAAACGCTGACTCTATACATTTGATAAAATTAAAGAATATTAATTACTTTAGGTGTAATGTTAGAATTTTAAAAATTCAGAACTTTTAAAGCTACATAATGAAGTATTTATGGGTGAAATAGTGTTATACCAAGGATTTGCTTCAAAATGATAGGACAAGAGAAGGGGTAGAGGTATATTTGAAATAAGAGTGATCACATATTGATAATTGTTTAAGCCATGCAATTGGTACATGGAGATTCCTTATACTATTTTTGTCTACCTCTGTATGTTTGAAATTTTCATAATGAAATATTTTTGAAGCAGTTTTCCAGTCAACAAACTAGGAGGTGGTTGAGCATAGAAAGGCTGGATCCATTCTCAGCTGCACACGGTATGTGGGGGCCACACCTTGGGAATTCCCCTCAACCGAGGTCCCTGTGCCCTGGGAGTCGCTGGGACTCAGAGGCGCAGTCAGAATGTCAGGCCTTTTAATATGTTTATGTGGGTTTCCTCCTTAATGAGGTTGAATCATAGGTATTTTATGAATGAGGTGCATTTCCCCCTCTGTTTCTGTTAATATAGGTGTGTTTTTCAAAATCTTAAACCTCATATGTTCAAAGCTGAATCCCTGATGCTCTTCTACAAAACTCGCCTCCCCTATGGTCTTCCCCATCTCCTTAAACGGCTAGTCCATCCTTGTAGTCACTGAGGCCAAAGCCTCCTCTCCTTCCTTTTGTTCTCACCCCACATGCTGTACCATCACTGTGAACGAAGAACCCAGCCACTTCTCACTACCCCGGCTCTACCGCCCTGACTCCATGCACCGTCATCCCTTGCTGAGATGATCCTGATAACTTCCTAACTGGCCTCTATAGTCCCCTCCTGCCACTGTTAGTCTAAGAGCAGCCAGAGTAATACTGGTAATACCTAAGTTAGGCCATGTCACTCCTCTGTTTACAATTTTGATTTTCGTGTTGCTCCCATTAATGAGACTAACAGCCAAAATCCTTTAAATCAGTGATTTTCAACCTTTTTCATCTCATGGCACACACATAATCACTAAAATTCTGCAGCACACCAAAAAATATATTTTTTGCCAATCTGACAAAAATAGGTATAATTTCCATTACACCAGCTATTGTGTTAACTGTTGTCATTTTTTTTTTTTTTTTTTTTTTTTTTACAATAAAGGAAAATAGGTCAATTCCCCTAACCAAATAGTCAGGTATTGCAAGCTAGGCTCCTTTGAGCTCCTCCCCCACCCCCTCCTCTACCCTCGTTCCCCCTCCCCCCGCCACCCCCGTAGGCTGGGCTGGCTGCAGCAAGCAGAATCAATTGGGTTCTTTTATATCAAAATAGCAAAACCCCAGAAAAGAAGTTGAGAGAGTCCCGCTCTTTACTACCCAAACCACATGCAAGTCTTCCTGACACAGCATAACTGTTTGCCTTGCACCAAGTGGGAAAAATGACAAGCAACCAGAAAAAAAAAAAAAAATCTTGTGGCATACTGGTTGAAAATCGCTGCTTCAAATGGTCTGCAAGATCAGATACCATCTGGCTCCCATGACCTGGTTTCTCCTCCTACTGCTCATTGTCTCGCTCGCTCCACTTAGCCGCACACCATGCATGCTGCCACCTCAGGGTCTTTGCACTTACTGTTCTCTATTTCTAGAGCTGTCTTCATACAGACATTTGTATTGTTCACTCCCTTACTTTGTTAGGTCTTCATTCACATATTAACTTCCCAGTAAAACCGATCTTGACCACCCTGCTTCACTCCCTCCCCTTTTTCCCTTTGTTTATTTTCAAGATTTTATTTGTTTATTTTTAGAGAGAGGGGAATAGAGGGAGAAAGATAGAGAAACATTAATGTGAGAAACATTGATCAGGTATATGACAGGAGTGGGGACTGAACCTGCAACCCAGGTATGTGCCCTGACTGGGAATCGAACCGGCAACCTTTTGCTTTGTGGGAAGACGCCCAACCAACCCAGCCACATAGGTCAGGGCCTTGCCTTTGTTTCTTCATAGCATTTATCACTGCTGTAGCTTCAGTGTCTAGAGCACTGCCTGGCACACAGTAGGTACTTCATAAATATGTATTGAATGAGAGAATGCTGTCCTGTCTGAGCTTATAGCCAAAGGCAGAAGGTAATTAAACAAAAGCGTATAGTACTATGATAAGAGAAGTGCCAGCCACAGTGGGTGCCTACTATGGTCTGAAAGTTTGTATCCCCCCAAAACTTATATATCGAGATCCTAATGATCCATGTGATGGTATTAGGAGGTAGGGCTTTGGGAGATGATTAGGTCAAGAGGCAGAAGCCTCATGAATGAGATT